AAAAGACCAGATCCTGGCGGGCCTGGTGGTGGGGAGGCGGGCTAACCCAGGGGTCGGGACCGTGTCCTCTCCTCTCTGGCCTGGTTGTGAAGTAGGAGCCCCCCACATGTGCAGGTCCCAGTAGGACGAGACAGCACCCTTCCAGTTGTCCCACTCTGCCCAACAACGAGTATGTGTAACACCGCGTGGCAGCGCCCGGGCACCATTGGAGATGGTGGCGAGGGACGTCAAGGTGAGGGCCACAGGGAGGCAAGCCTGGACAGGGCTGACCAAACGCCCAGAAGACCCACCCTCGGGTCTAGGAGTCATGCTTCAGAGACAGGCTGGACAGGCAGGAATGGCAGGAATGGAAGGGACAGCCAGGCTGACCTGAGTCGTTCTCACCTCCTAGGGCAGCTGTGACTGATGACCACAAACTGGGGCCTGGGGGGCCTGAAACAGCAGACCTACTCTCTCACACTGCTGGAGGCCAGCCGTCCGAGTCAGTACACTGGACTGAAGTCAAGGTGTGGGCAGGGTCGGTTCCTGCTGGAGGCTCTAAGCGAGACTGTCCCAGGACTCTCTCCCAGCTTCTGTGGCTGCCGGCCATCCTTGGCATTCCCTGGCTTCTAGATGCTTCCCTCCCAGCTCTGCATCCGCCGTCGCCTGGCCTTCTCTCCCGGAGCCTCTGTGTCTCTTCTCTGCTCCTCACAAGGACACCATCACTGGGTTCAGGGCCCACCCTAATACTGTATGACCCCATCTTAACTAATTACATCGACAAAGACCCTATTTCCAAAAAAGGTCATGTCCCCAGGTTCTGGGTGGATGGGAACATTGAGGGTCCATGTATTTAAAAAACAAAACAAAACCAGAATGGGAACAGAAATGGTGGACGAAGCAGAGAGAGGAGGTAGAGTAGTGACAATGACGGTGACGATGCATGTCCTCCTGGGGGGAGAAGGGTCCTGTCCGGGAGGCGTGGCAGACGTGCACGAGAGAAGATGGGGAGTCCTGGTTCGGGACCCGCGGGGTCTTGCTGAGGAATGCTGGCTCGCAGCACGCTAGGCCCTCGGGTGGGCAGGTGCTCAGGAGGTGAGGAAAGAGAGCGCGTGGAGGGTGGCGGAGGGAGGGGGTGGTGCTCTGGCTGGGGCACTGCCTCTGCCTTTTGCCATTTTCTGTCACGTTTGAAAAAAGAAGGAAGCCTGGCCCTCTGCCTGAGGGACTGAAAAGTTTCGGTGTGTTAAAAACATTCTATTTAGTTTTGTCATTGTTTTTAAGAACCTCAGTCAAGGCATGTTTAATTCTGTGATGCACGAAATAAATTCTGCTAGTGTTTCAAATCAGTTTTTTTATTTCAGAGTAGTGTTAGATTTACAGAAAAGTTGCAAGGACCGGGGGGCACCTGTGTGGTTCAGTCGTTGGGCAACTGCCTTCGGCTCAGGTCATGGTCCCAGGGTCCTGGGATCGAGCCCCGCATCGGGCTCCCTGCTCCGCGGGAAGCCTGCTTCTCCCTCTCCCACTCCCCCTGCTTGTGTTCCCTCTCTCGCTGTGTCTCTCTCTGTCAGGTAAATAAATAAAATCTTTATAAAAAAAAAAAAGGAAGAAAGAAAAGTTGCAAGGGCGGTGCAGACAGTTGCCATCTACCCCGCGCCCAGCTTCGCCGGTGATTAACATTTTACATTAGCATGCCACAGTGATGATACTTTTTTTATTTTTTATTTTACCTTTTTTTAAAAAAGGTTTATTTATTTGAGAGAGAGAGAGAGTGCGTGCACGTGGGGGGGGGCGGAGGGAGAGGGAGAACGAATCTCAAGCAGACTCCACACTGAGCGCAAAGCCCGATGCAGGGCTCGGTCTCACCCACGAGATCATGACCTGAGCCGCAATCAGGAGTCACACGCTTAACCGACTGCACCACCCAGCCGCCCTAGTGATACATTTTTTATTAATTAGAGGCACACTTCATCTGGATTTCCTTAGTTTATCCCTAACATCCTTTTATGTTGTTCCAGGATCCCATCTGGGATTATATTTGGCCATAATATCTCCCGAGGCTCTTCTAGACTGACAGTTTCTCAGATTTTCCTTGTTTCTGATGACCTTGACAGTTTTGAGGAGCCCTGGTCAGATAGTTCATTGTCTTTTGACTTGGGTTTGTCTGGTAGGTACTGGGTTTTAGGGAGGAAGACTGTAGAGGTAAAGTGCATTGCTGTCACATCCTACCCGGGGTACATACTGTCGACGTGACTTGTCACTGTGACGCTGGCCGGGATGGAGTTCTCCGGGCTTGTCCACAGCGAAGTGACTCCCCACCCTGCCTCTGCTCTGTGCCGTGCAGAAGGCAGTCACTATGCCGCCCGCATTTATGGAGCAGAGGACTGTGTTCCACCTGCTTGAGGATGAAGCATCTACGTATATGATCTGGAATTCCGCACAGGAGAAATGATCTTTTCTTGCCCATTTAATCATTTACTCAATGATTCTATCAGTCTGGACTCCTGCATATTTATTTCATACTTTGGGCTATAATCCAGTGCTACTGTCTATAGTTTGTTGCTGAAATTGTCCCAGCTCTGGCTACTGGGGGAGCTCTTTCAGTTGACTCCTGGGTCCCTGTGACTTCACCCCATCATTATAGGGTTTGGGGTTTTATTATTGCTTTTGAGCACTTCCTTACTCTCTGGCAGTACAGGGTGCTCCAGGCTCATGTTGGATGTGCCCTGCCCCAGCTCCAGATTCGGGCATTTCCCCGAGGAGTCCCGGTTCTTTGTTGTTAGGAATTGTGTTAGAAACCAGGGATTGGGTGCTGGGTGTCCTTGCTTTCAGTACTCTCAGCAGGCAGAGCTAAGGAATGTGTTTATACTGGGGCACCTGGGTGACTCAGTCAGTTAAGCATACAACTCTTGGTTTCAGCTCAGGTCATGATCTCGTGGGTTGTGGGATCAAGCCCCGTATCAGGCTCTCCGCTCTGGAGAATCTGCTTGAAGATTCTCTCCCTCTGTCCCTCCCCCAACCCACACGCTCACTCTCTCTCAAATAAATAAATAAATCTTAAAAAAAGTGTGTTTGTGCTAATCCGTGTTTACATACATAGGTATAATTTGTATCTGTAGCTATATCAGGCTAAACATGGCTTCATACGGAGGTCTCCTACCCCCTGGCTCATTCAACACCACCCCCCTTGCTTGTCTATAGCTTCCCTCTGCAACAGTGAGAAGCCTGGTTCCCACCATCCTCCTTGCCATTCCTTAATTGTTCACTGCTAGGGCTCATGATAGCGGTTTCAGAGGTGTTGACCATGCCCTGTGGGAAACAATGTTACCAACCCGAGCATAGTGCTTAGATGTGCTCCTCAGTCTCTCTCCATTTTCACAGCACCTTCCTGTCCTCCCCCTTCCAAATGAGGTTAGAGCCCATACTTGAAGTATAGTTTGATTCTTTTATCCGTCATGGGTTCCCCATCTCCCAACTGATTTTTATCTGCATACATTAAAGTTCGTTCTTTGTGCCTTAAGAGTCTGGAGGTTTTAGGGTCCCTGGGTGGCTCAGTTGGTTAAGCAACTGCCTTCGGCTCAGGTCATGATCCTGGAGTCCCTGGATCGAGTCCCACAAGGGGCTCCCTGCTCCCTGCTCGGCAGGGAGTCTGCTTCTCCCTCTGACCCTCCCCCCTCTCATTCTCTCTCTCTCAAATAAATAAATAAAATCTTTCAAAAAAAAAAAAGAGTCTGGAGGTTTTGAAAGATGCTTGGTGTCGCATAGCATGATCAGCATCATACAGAATCATTTTACCACCTTAACATGCTCTTGCACCTTACCTGTTCAGCCCCCCACCCCCTGCTGGCCAACCTCTGGCAACCACTGATCTGGTTTTTGTCTCTGTAGTTTTGCCTTAAATGGAATCATAGAGAATGTAGCCTTTCAGCCTGGCTGCTTTCACTGAGCAGCATGGATTTAAGACTCGGCCCTGTCCTTGCGTGGATGGCTTCCTTGCTTTTTTTTTCTGAATCATATTCCATTGTCTGGATGGACCGCAGTTTGTTTATCCACTAACCAGTTGAAGGACAACGTGGTTGCTTCCAGTTTTTGACAGTTATGAATAAAACTGCTATAAATAGTAAATGCAGGTTTTTATAGAGACATAAGTTTTCCAATCAGTTGAGTAAATACCTAATGTCACACAATGACTGGATCATACTGTAAGACTACATTTAGCAACCGCCAAACCGTCTTCCAAAGTGGCTGTACCATTTTGCATTCCCACCAGCAATGAATGAGAGTCCCTGTTGCTCTGGTCCTGGCCAGCAATTGCAATTTTGTTTGTTTTTTGGATTTTAGCCACCCTAATAGGTGTATAGAGATATCTCATTATTGTTTTAATTTGCATTTCCCTAATGACAAAAGATGTTGAGCATCTTTTCATATGCTTATTTGCCATCTGTAGATCTTCTTTGGTGAAGTGTCTGTTCAGATCTTTTGCCCATTTTTTTAATTGGGCTGCTTGTGTTCTGACTGTGGAGTTTTAAGCATTCTTTTTTATATTCTGTATACAAGTCCTTTATCAGATACGTGATTTGCAAATATCTTCTCCCAGTTTGTGGCTCATCTTTTCATCCTCGTAACGTTGTCTTTCACAGAGCAAACATTTTTATAATTTTAATGAAGTCCAAACAATAATTTTTTTCTTTCATGGATTGTGCTTTTGTTGTTGTATCTAAAAAGTCACCAAACCCAAGGTCACACGGAGTTTTCTGCATTTTCATCTAGACGTTTTATAGTTTTGCATTTTATGCTCGGGTCTGCGGTCCATTTCGAGTTCGTTTCTGCATAAGGGGGGAGATTTTGTCTAGGCTCATTGTTCCAGCATCCTTAGTTGAAAATCTCCACTAAATTCTCTTGACACCTTTGTCGGTTTTGCCAGCATTTTAAAATTGATGTCCTTTTCTGTCCTACCTAAGTTCTGTAAAGAGTCACCTTGACAGAGGGGAAAGCTCTGATGGCGTTTTCTGCTTATCTCACAGCAAGACCACTGGTGCAGACCCTGCCTTTAAGGACCACTGTTAACAACGGCACTGTGTTACCAAAGAAACCTAGTGGCTCTCTACCGTCCCCCTCAGGGGCCAGGAAAGAAACAGCTGTGCCCACCGCAACCAAAAGGTAGGTACAGAGTGCCTTAACCCACCCCGAAAGAGAGTTCCATCTCAGGTTTAAAATAAATATTGCCTTTTTATGTGACACCTCTTAATTTCTTGTCTGAATTAAAACTCATAAAAGTACAATATTTGGTGTGTTGCCATAGCAGGACCTATATACATTTATTTTTCTGCTTTTTTAGACTTTTTCTTACTGTCTTTTGAAATCTCATTGGCTAACACCATGGTGTGCTATTTTGTATTTTTGCTTGAGGGTCTCTTGAAAACACAAAAGGGAGTGTAACCTGTGTTAAAACGAATATGCTCTAAAAAAAAAAAAAATGAAGGGGCGCCTGGGTGGTTCAGTCGGTTAAGCACCTTTGGCTCAGGTCATGATTGCAGGGCCCGGGATTGAGCCCCACATCGGGCTCCCTGCTCAGCTTCTCCCCCTGCTTGTGCTCTCTCTCTCTGAAATTAATAAATAAAATCTTAAAAAAAAAAAAGAATATGCTCTTCCCATCTTCATACTTGGCATGGAGCAAAATTCAGATTGCCGTACCAACGTTAACTTTTTATCTATGAAATTTGGATAAGCTCATACCTTTAAATTGTGCCTAACAGTGAAGTTCTAGATATTGATGTTGTCTGTCAGAGCATAGTTTGCTCTTAATATTTCTATAATTTCATGATTGTCATATTAAAATTTCATATATTATATGCCAGGCCACTTGCCTTAGCTTTTAGGCTCTAGAAAATTAAATACATGATGGTAATATAGCCTAGAAAACCTTAAAGAAATTCTTGTGCGTTGATACCCCCCCAGCTTGTTACAAGCCCACCGTAGAAGCTCTTAGGGCTCATTACAATACTAACTGCCTAGCAGGTGCCGGGTCAGGGAGCATGAGTGTGCAGAGGCCACTCTGCATGCTGGGGCCACCAGTGGGCTGGCAGGTGTTGGATCAGATGCTGGGCTGTGACTTGGAGGAAAACGTAGCGATCCTATCTTCTTTTTCAAATATGTAGTGTTTGTACTCTCCCTCAAGAAACAAATTTTCATTGTGTTTTTACCAGCTAGAGTGTCATGTCCTTATTGTTTGTGAATTTTAAGAAAATTGATTTTGCAGGGCTTTTTAAAACTTAAAAAATGACATTCTTAACCTCATGTTGTATCTGTTTAATACTTGGTTGAATCATTTATTTCTAATCAACGTGAAGTGACCTTCTGCATTCTAAATGGCAGCAGTCAATAGTCTTTGTTTTTCATCTAGATGTCGAAGATTGCCAAGGCTGACTTTATTTGAGGATTCAGATTGCCATCTGTTATAAAACACATAACATTAAGTTTATCATCTCAGCCATTTTTAAGTGTACGGTTTGGTAGCGTTAAGTACCATTGCGCATTGTTGTTGCGCAGCAGATCGCAAGAACCTTTTCATCTTTTCTTTCTGTTTCCTTCTAAAATTATTTATTTATTTATTTAAATTTTAATTCCAACACAGTTAACATTCAGTGTTGTATTAGTTTCGGGTATACAACATAGTGATTCAGCAATTCCATACAACACCCAGTGCTCATCCCAACAAGTGCGCTCCTTCGTCCGCATCCCCTACTTCCCCCACCCCCCCACCCACCTCCCTTCTGCTGACCATCGATTTGAAGAATTTTTTCATCTTGCAAAACTGAATTTCTGTATCCATTAAACAGTAATTCCTATCCCCAGCTCTTGGCAATCACCTTTCTACATTCTGTTTCTATGAGTTTGACTACTTTAGATACTTCATATGAGTGGAATCATACAGTATTTATTTGTCCCTTTGTGGCTGAGTTATTTCATTGAGCATCATATCCTTGAGGTTCATCCATATTGTAGCATATCACAGGATTTCCTTCTTTATTAAGGCTGCATAATACACACACCCACACCCACACCCGTACACCCCACATTTTCTTTATCCATTCAACTGTTGATGAACATTTGGCTTGTTTCCGCCTCTTGGCTGTTATAAATAAAGCTATAATGAATGTGGCTGTGCAAATAGCTCTTCAAAATCCTGCTTTTAATTCTTTTGGATAGATACCCAGAAGTGATATTGCTGAGTCATAAGGTAATTCTATTTTTAATGTTTTGACGAACCACCATATTGTTTTCCAAAATGGCTACACCATTTTACGTACCCACCAACAAAGCACAAATGTCCTAATTCCTTCTAATCCTTGCCAAAAACTTGTTATTTTCTATTCTTTTGCTAGTGGCAATCCTAATGGATATGAGGTGATATCTCATTGTGGTTTTGCTTGGCATTTATCATATGATAAGTGATAATGAGCATCTTTTTTAAAAGTAATCTCTACATCCAATATGGGGCTTGAACTCACGACCCCTAAGATCAAGAGTCACATACTCTACTGACTGAGCCAGCCATGTACCTGGATATTGAGCATTTCGTTATATGCTTGTTGGCCATTTGTATATCTTCTTTGGAGAAATATCTGTTCAAGCCCTTTGCCCATTTTTAAATCAAATGATTCATTTTTCTGTTATTGTTCCTGAACTGTAGAATTTCCTTACATATTCTGGATATGGACCCCTTATTAAGTATATTATTTGCAAATATTTCCTCCCATTACATAGGTTGTCTTTTTACTCTATTGATTGTTTCCTTGATACACAGAAGTTTTTAAGTATGATGTAGTCCCAAGTGTCTATTTTTGCTTCTGGTGTCACATCCAAGAAATCATCGACAAATACAACATCCCAACGCTTTCCCCTTGTGTTTTCTTCCAGGAGTTTGATGGTTTTAGGTCATACATTTAGGTCTTTAATCCCTTTTGAGTTAATTTTGTTTATTGTTGAAGGGTCCAACTTCCTTCTTTTGCACGTAGATATTCAGTTTTCCCTCTGCCATTTGTTGAAAAGACTGTCCGTTCCCATCGTCTGCTCTTGGAGCTCCCTTGTTGAAAATCATTTGGCCGCATACTCAAGGGTTTATTTCTGGGCTCTCTGTTCTGTTCCATTGATCTATTTTTCTCTCTTTGGGCTAATGAAGATACCCTACCAACTTGATTACTGTTACTTGGTAGCATATTTTAAAATCAGATACTTTGAGGCCTCCAACTTTGTTCTTCTTTTTCAAGGTTGTTTTGGCTATTTGGGGTTCCCTTGACATTCCTTTTAAATTTTAGGATTTTTTTTCTATTTCTGCAAAAAATACCATGTTGATAGGGGATGCATTGAACCTATAGATCATTGTAGGTACTATAGACATTTTAACAATATTAGGTCTTCCAATCCATGAAAATGGGATGGGTTTCCACTTATTTATGTCCTCTTTGATTTATTTTAGCAGTGTTTTATAGTTTTTGTGTACAGGTCTTTCACTTCCTCGGTTAAATTTATTCCTGAGTATTTTATCCTTTTGATTCTGCAGCAAATGGGATTTTTTCCTTAATTTCCTTTTTTGTGTTCGTTGTTGTCAGTGTATAGGAATGCAACTGATTTTTGTATCCTGCAACTTTGCTGAAATTGTTGGTTAGTTTTAAAATGTTTGTGTGCGTGGAATCTTTAGGGCTTTCTACATGTAAGATCACGTCATCTGCAAACAGAGATAACTTTAGTTCTCTCTAATGTCAATACCTTTCATTTCTTTTTCTTATCTAACTGTGCTGGCTAGGATTTCTAGTACTGTGTTGAACAGGAGCGGTGCAAGTGGATCTCCTTGCCTTGTTCCTGATCTTAGAGGAAAAGCTTTCAGTCTTTCACTGTTGCATAGGATGTTTCTGCAGTTTCAGTTGCCCATGGTCAGCCTCAGTCCAGAAGCACAAGACCCTCCTTCTGACATACCACCAGAAGGTCAATAGTAGCCCAACATTATGTCACAGTGCCTACGTATTTATCTCACTTCATCCTATCACGTAGGCATTTTATCCTGTCACATCATCACAAGAAGAAGGGTGAGTAGAGTATAATGAGATATTTTGATAGACAGAGACCATAGTCACATAACTTTTATTACAGTATATTGTTCTAATTGTTTCTAGTTTATTATTAATTATTGTTGTTAATCTCTTACTATGCCTAATTTATAAATTAAACTTTATCATAGTTATGTACTGTATAAATAGGGTTTGGTACTATCCACAGTTTCAGGCATTCACTGGGGGTCTTAGAACATATCCCCTGTGGATAAGGGGGCACTCCTGTAATCCTTTCAATGTACTGTTGAATTCAGTTTGATAGTATTTTGTTGAGGATTTCTGCTTCAAGCTTCATCAGGGATATTGGTCTATAGTTTTTCTTGCTGTGTCTTTGTCTGGTTTTGGTATCATAGAATGAGACTGGAAGAATTTCCTCCCCCCCATTCCCCCTTCAATTCTTTGAACGACTTTGAGGAGAACTGGTATTAATTCATCTTTAAATGTTTGGTAGGATTCTCCAGTGATGCCATCTCGCCCTGGGCTTTTCTTTGTTGGGAGATTTTTTTTTATTACTGTTTCAATTTCCTTCTGGTTATTGGTCTGTTAGAGTTTTTATTTCTTCATGATTCAGCCTTGGTAGCTTGTATGATTCTGGGAACTGATCCATTTCCTCTATGTTATCCAATTTGTTAGCATATAATTGCTCCTAATAGTCTCATAGAATTCTTTTTACCTCTGTGACATCAGTTGTAATATTCCCTCTTTCATTTCTAATTTTAGTTATTTGGGTCTCTTTTTTTCTTAGTCTAGCTGAGGATTTGTCAGTTTTGTTGATCTTTTTGAAAGAAATTTGTAGTTTCATTTATTTTTTCTATTTTTCTCTTCTCTGTTTTATTTTTGCTCTAATCTTTATTAGGTCCTTACTTTTACTAACTTTTGTTTCAGTTCTTCTTTTTCTAGTTCCTTGGGGTAGAAAGCTAGGTTGTTGTTTTGAGATCTTTCTTCTTTTCAATGCACATCTTTACTGCTATAAACTTCCCTTCTAGTATTGTGTTCTCTGATCCCACAAGTTTTAGTGTGTTTTGTTTTTATTTTCATTTGTTTCTAGATATTTTCTAAATTCCCTTGTGATTTCTTCTTTGACGCATTGATTGTTCAAGAGTGAGTCCTCCCATTTCAAGAGTATCATTTTATTTTATTTTATCTTATTTTATTTTATTTTTTTTGAGAGAGAGAGCACACAAGTGCACTTGGAGGGGGAGGGGGGGAATCTTAAGCAGGCTCCATACCCAGTGCAGAACCCAACGTGGGGCTCAGTCTCACAACCCCGAGATCATGACCCAAGCCAAAATGAAGAGTTAGATGCTTAACCAACTGAGCCACCCAGGCGCCCCTCAAGAGTGACTTTTTAAAGTAGCAGATTATTGTGGTGCCTGGCTGGCTCAGTCGGTAGAACGTACAACTCTTGATCTCGAGGTCGTAAGTTTGAGCCCCACACTGGGTGTGGAGACTACTCAAATAAATCTTTTTTAAAGAATAAATAAAGTAGCAAATTATTAATGGAAAAAGGAGATTCTTTCCCTTTATTCTTGGATTAAATGGAATTTTATCATTTATACCTCTTATATATTTGGAATTTAAATAAGATTTTAAAAATTTTGAGAGCAAAAAAATGAAAGTAAAAATTGAAATGCAAATGTAATTTCTAGCTTTCAGTTCATTTCATGAGAGCTTATGTCCAGCATTCTTGTTCTTTGATTTTGTAGAATTTTCTATGGTTGGTCCAAAGTAACTTTGATGTAGTGTGATAATGCCCTTCACTATTTATGGCTTTCTTAGACCTCATGGGATTAATTGCCATGATTGCTAGAGTTCCTGGCAAACTGTATTTTCAGTTCTAGTGTTTGAAACATGTATTCAGGGTACGGTAAGGCTGGGGAATGATGTTTCTGAAACTGACCACACAAGTGAGGCTGGGCTATGGAATCAGATGGACGCTTTCCCCAGGGTGTGAAAAAGCGCAGGCATCCATGGGTACTTTGGGCCCCCTCTAAGTCAGTGATGATGGCAGAAATCATCCTTCAGTGGTAATAAAAGCCTACAAAGTACCAGGTTTTTAATATTGGTATCACTAATCCTCAAAATGATTTGCAAGGTAGATATTGGTATTTCTATTTTATGAGAAGACTGAAGCTCAGAGAAACGAGGTAACTTCCCCAGGTCCCACAGGCACAGAGCTGGGAAAGTGCTCAGACCCAGGTTCACGTGCATCCAGAGCTCATGCCCCTACCGCTATGCTAGGCTGCTTCCCGCAAGACGTCCAGGTCAGCATTTACATCGGCTCATAAAAAGTGCTTGATATAATTACTGTTTGGAAACGATCCCTCTTGTATGCCCCTGCTTTCTGCATGCTGCTGTCAGGAGCAGCAACGTTCCGAGATGCCCCTGTGGGTGCCGACAGGAGCAGCATCAGAGACTTCTGGCAGCAAGTCTGAGAGATAGGACTGGCAGGTACTTAGGGGCTGCAGGGGCTGGACTCCAAGGACAGAACCAGCCATGTGCTGTGAGCAGAGGCCTGGGTCCTCTGCTCCCTGTGTCAGCCTTATAGGCGAGAGCTTGTGCTTAGTGACTGCTCTCAGCAAGATTATCTTAGGAGGAAAGGAAGGAAAGAAGGGAGGGAGGGAGGAGGGTTGGTTATTTGTAGCCATCATATTGTGTGCACATATACGTGTTAACACTTAAACAATAACCTTCCTTCCAGAAATATTCTAAGGCCTCTGTAGATGCTTCTTTTTAATTTACAGAATAATCATTTTGGTTCATCTGATAAACTGTTGTCGAGCAGCCAACCAGAAATACATGGTTTTCTGAGTGTTCAAAACTCTTGGATTTCAGGGTAGAACATAGTGATTCATTAATTTTGTTTCTCTGGTTTTTATGGGCATCCATGGATGTGAGTTCACATCCACTTGGACGTTGGAAACCCAAACAGTAGCATCTAATTATTCCTCTGTGGTCAAGTTCCTATAGATCTCTCATTAGGAGAGAATTCTGAAAAGAGCAAGAAGCACGCTAGGCATCCTGAATATTAGGAATAAAATAGCTTCCAGGATGTTTCAAATATGTTTACAATCATGCAGGAATTTTTCTATAATCAGAGTTCCAAATTAACCAAGTCGGGGCATCTGCAGAGTGTGGATGGGTATATGTTTGTTTTCTTTCCTCTGGGGTTTTTTCAGCCTAGTGCTTAAGAACAAAATCTCCTTTGGAAATTGTCCAGCACCCAGCAGTTGTGCTTTGTGTTGCCAATTAAGACTTCGATTGGGGGCTTGATTTGGAATCCTTGGGAAAAGCTTTGTTTCCATTAGTCAAAGGAAAAAAGGCAGAAAATCCGGGGAAGACATTGTAGGTCATACCTTGCTCAGTGGGGATGCTGAAGCTGACAATAGAATAACATTTCCACTGGCTCAAAACAGAGACAATCACTCATTCTTTCTGCTCCTAAGTAGAGTTTTACAATAGGGCAGAGCTGTGAGAAGAGAGATCAAAAGAACTTAAAACTGGTACAAAACAGAGCATTATTTTAAAAATGCTCTGTTCTAAGTGTAAAATAGGGTGGTAAACATCTACTGCTTCCAAATAAACAGCTGACTGTCCTTTGGAAAAATGGTTACACTTGTTAGAAAGACCCATTTGTAAATGCACCAGTTGGTGCTGGACGTGCACACAATTTCAAGAGTAGAAAAGTGAAACCTGATTTTCTGGGGTTTATTATTATTATTATTACTTCTGATATATTTCCTTATCACTCAGATCCACTGAAACATTTTGAGTCTGTTTCTGTAGCAAAATAGAGATAGAATCATTCTGCCATTGAATGGAGGAAGATGAGTTGGCACCTATCCCTTTATCAGAAGTGACACGGTCACCCCTCTGGGCTCAGGGACCTGGCTTCGCATGGTAGAAGAGAAACTTCTTCTGAAGATCCGTCAGATTCTCTAAGATCACCAGCCTTCCTAGACAATGACTTGGTTTCTGCCACAAAGATACAGCGGAAGAGAGGGAGATGAGAGCATTTTGTAATTACTGAAGTGAGTGATCTGCGAGAATTGTAACTTGCAGGGGCACCCGGGTGGCTCAGTCGGTTAAGCATCTGCCTTCAGCTCAGGTCATGATCTCAGGGTCCTGGGATCGAGCCCTGTGTTGAGCTCCACATCAAGCCTTCCTGCTCTGCGAGGAGTCTGCTTCTCCCCCTCACTCTCCCTTTGTGCTCTCCCTCCCTCTCCCTTTCTCTCTGTCTCTCTCAAATAAATATAATCGTAAAAAAAAAAAAAAAAGGAATTGTAACTTGCAGGACAAATGCCAGATTGGTCCTGGTCCCATGTTGACTCACCAGTGCTCAGCCCAGCACCCAGTGTACAGTCACTGCCTCATAAGTATTTGTAGAGTGGATAATTGTTCTAATCAAGCATCATCACCCCAGCTGTCATGATAGACGACATCATCAGAAGATCCCTGGTGGGGGCGCCTGGGTGGCTCAGTTGGTTAAGCGACTGCCTTCGGCTCAGGTCATGATCTTGGAGTCCCGGGATCGAGTCCCACATTGGGCTTCCTGCTCGGCAGGGGGTCTGCTTCTCCCTCTGACCCTCTTCCCTCTCATGCTCTCTACCTCTCATTCTCTCTCTCTCAAATAAATAAATAAAATCTTAAAAAAAAAAAAAAAAAAAAGAAGATCCCTGGTGGTATACCTAAGGGCTACCTGTCTGGTTTCTGTTTTGTTTTTTTTGTTTTTTTTTGTTTTTTTGTTTTTATTGTAAATGTTTGGGATCTTCTTGCACAACTTTGGAACCAATCCTTGATTCCAAATCACATAATGAAAGAAAGACATAATTGTAGCTTGTTATGCTTAGAGTTACTATCTAACCATAAGAAGAAGGCTTGCCACCAGTCACCCTTGCATAAACTTCTATGAAGTCTAAAATTTAGTTTAAGTTGGCAAAAACCATCGAATGGGTATGGAATGAAATGTAAAGAACCACTGTATTTTCAGAACTGAGAAGGTTTTTGGTTTGGGAGTGGGGGTAGAGACCAGAAGGGAAAAGAAGAAATGATGGTATCCATGCATTTCTACACCAAAAATATTTTACTTGCTTTAAGCACTAAAAAATGTACTCCATTACTATACAGTCTCTCACAAGCCAGTTCTTCTACGACTCTCAAAATGAAGAGCAGAATTTTCCCCTTGCTGTCCAGAGGGAACATAACTTCTTTGATATTCCCTGCTGGTTATTGAAGGAGGCTTCTCACAGTGAGTATACTCCTTCTGGCTGCCCTTGATGCTGTGAATGTCTGTTCTTCCAGCTTTATTTGCTGTCCTTCACTTGGAGTCCTGGTAAATCCTCTTTAATTCATAAGAGCTCTTGGCTCTCAAAAGGAAATATCTTGTTTTTTCTATGTATACAATAGTGGATTTTTTTTAAAGCTTCACATTTTAATGCAAATGGGCAGATGACAAATATCTGGGAATAGCTGTGATGAATTATATCCAAGTCTGTATATGCAGACGGAAGTGTTTTCCATTTTGATGTGTGGTGTGTGTTCTGTTATTTATTGAAACTTACCAAAATGTTTTTCCCACGCTTTTGTTGTTGCTCTCGGTTTCTTCCGCTTTGTCTCCGTGGCTCTCACGTGTAGACCAAACAGGTCTGTGAGTCTCCTGAAGGCATGCAGACCGAGTAGATGGACTCGCAGGTGAGGGGTCCTTAGACTTATTTCACAGCTCGGGAGCGTGAGGTCCCGTGAACACCGCAGCATAGTGATCTTCAGTGTCTCCTGTTGGTCCAGCCTCAAATCCTGTAACCGTGTTAATTATTGACGTTTGTTGGACTTTGAGATGTTCAGCAGGCCCTCAACCCCGTGTACGTGGGTGTTCTCATGAGCCGTACGCAGTCCTGAGTAGGAAGCCCAGCAGAGAGCACAAGGAGCAAAGTAATCCCAGACGAACTGCTGCATCCCTGAATCTGTGTTCTCGTCTATCAGGGGGATCACGCTGCCTTTGCAGGGGACTAGATTAAATCACATACGCCAGTTGTGAAGTTCTTAGCATATGTGGCCCATCACTGCCACTTGCCAGTTCCATGTTTCCATCACCGGTGTCCCCTGGTAGCTCTTCTAGCCGCCAAGCTCAGCGTTACTAGAAAATCGGTTAGTGTTTGCTGTAACTGATGAATAGTCATGACTTTTCCAGATCTGTAAGAGTGTTTTATACCAGTCTTTAAGTTGCCATGAACTTGCCATGAACTCCCCTAGGGACGCCACGTGGGTGACGCTCTGGGCCGGTGGTTGCTGTTACTCTCCCAGGGGGCCACCAGGGCCAGGCAGCACGCCTCCGAGCCCCGTGCTAGATGCTTGGCAGAGAAAGATCCCGTGAAATTAAATCAGCTCGGTGTTTCTCGTCTCTGGAAGAAATTGAACTTTAAGCAGAAAGGTTTCTATAATTTTTAGACCTCAGTCCCAAATTTCAGAAATGCAGTGCTCTCCTATGATCTGTAATTTCCTTGTCCCCAAATTGAGTGTTCTAAAAACGCACGTTTTGACCTTAAGGCATGCCTGTTCGGATCCCACTTGTAAGATTCTGGTGCTGTAAATCCAAAGCTTCCTCAGTTAGCTAAAAAGGCTGTGCAGAAAGCCTATTCATGTCATCACGATTAGGGTCACGTTATTTATATTTGCTCACCCAGAGAGCGAAATGGTTTTTCAAAAGCTGATACGCCATGCAGGTTTTAAAAACATGCTAAGAGATTCTTTGCTGAGTGATGGGCGGTTCCAAAGGGAAAGGGACCGAAGCTGGCCTGAAGGAAGGGGGCGAGGACAGAGGAGGAAGAGTGGGTGGGGGGCTACTGAGAAGCCCCAGTGCGCGGCTGTGCTGTGTCATTAGGAGAAGGGGGGCTCGGACCTTCCCCCTAGGAGTGTAGCCTTGGTCTCAAGTCCCTTGGCTCCCATGTCCCCCGGCTGAAATGTGGTCTGATCTGCCAGCCTCCCTGGGCCCGTGCTGTCAGCAGCCACGTGGCACTTCTGTCTTGTCCCCATCTCCACCTGCAGCCCCAGCGCCGCCTGCACCCCACTTCTTCCCACCTTCGGCCCCTCTCTCCTGGCTTCCTCCTCCCCACCTCTCCAGCCTTCTCTGCGGCCTGGCTCGCACGCCTGCCCCGGGCAGGCCCTCCACCCAGAGCCCCAGCTTGGGACTGTCACCGCCAGCCAGCCCTCTCCTTTCTTACAGAGCAGGTGCTACGTTAGAGTACCTCATGTCTCTTCCTGTGACAGGCTCACAGCGTGATAGTCCCCTTTATTGACTCACTTATTTCAGCCTTTTTCACTGAATAAGTATCAAGCTGCTTTACCGGGCTCTCGAAGTATGTAAAAATGATCCATTAGATAGGGTCCCAAGGAATGTGTGGCCTAGTGGTGAGGAAACGAATGCCTGTAATACACGTCGGTGCTCCGGGAGCATCCCGTTCTACCTGCAGCAGCCCGTGTCCTGGCTGAGATACCTTCATGCCGCACGGGCCTTCCTTTTCCCTAGAACATCTCTTCCCGACTGTGTAATGACAACACGTTCAAGCCATTCATTTCATCTCTCCCAGAAATTCACAGTCTTCAGGAAGTCTCCCCAGACATCACCCCCAGGTGATGTTCCCCCTGTCTAGTTCCCCCTGCTTATACTTGCATGGGCGCTACCTCCAAACTAAGGCAGCATACACGGGGTGGAATGTTTCTGTCATTACCGGGGGCGTCCTATTTGCATTTGTCCCACGTGTGCCTCTAGACCAGAGCCCCTCCATATCCGTGCTGTTGACTTCGGGGGCTGGATTGCTCTTTGTCATGGGGTTGTCCTGGGAGTTGCAGGATGTTTCGCAGCATCCCTGGCCTCCCCACCTACTGGATGCCAGTAGCAGCCCTCTCCCCCTAGCTGTGACCATCAAAAGTGTCTCCAGACATTGCCAAATGTCCTCTGGGGGTGTCACCCCTGGTTGAGCACCCCTGGTTTAGACTGAAGCCTGCTCCGGGGCAGGCGACTTCCTGCGAAGCCGCTGGAGTGCTCTCACAGAGGGCTGTTGGGATCTTCCCTTTCAGTTTCTACCATGACACTGAACTGTGTACCAGTTGCCCCCGTTCCAAAGGCAGTGAGCAGAGGCATTGATCCCAAGTGACATTCTGCAGTGAGGAATACATACAGACATGCTCACACACACGTAGAGACATTCTGTAGTTAGGAGCCAAGCTCTTAAATATCCACGTGGAAGTAGGATGTTCTATGTAATATATTTTTATACTCGGCAATAAAATAAAATTGCCCTGTTAAGAATTTCATTGTCCTTTACTTCTCGCTGTAGTACCATCAAGAGGACCAGCTCCTCCGAGCGAGTATCTCCTGGTGGCCGAAGGGAAAGCTATGGGGATTCCAAAGGAAACCGAAACCGCACGGGGTCCACAAGTAGTTCTTCCAGTGGCAAGAAGAACAGTGAGAGGTAAGGGGCATCTTCTCTGCTGGTCCTGCTGTCCAGATGTTTTGTTACCCCTTTTCCCTAGAGATCCCGATAGGCACACGAGCTCCGAGCTCTCTCCAGCGGATAGACATTCTCCTGGGAGCATTGTGGGTAGTCATCCAATGGCCGTTGGAGGCGGCCGCTCATCACAGTTCCCACCAATCACTGTCCAGGTAAAAGGTGAAAACTTGAAATCCCAGCACCCCGATGCAGACGGAAATAGTTCCTGAGAATTTGCTTAGCACCAAATCCATGGAATGGGGAAAGCCATTCTGAATTTCCATACGGAGCACTTTATACTTCCAGTACGTTCCGCTGCCATTTTGAAATTAATTTCGGTGGGTTGTTTAACTTTGTCAACAGTACTTTTCAAGGTTGACTGGGTGAAAAGCTGAAGTTTTATCGTTTGTCAGAAACCATTTTTAATACTGAGCTGACACCAGAAATAGGACCATTTCTTTCTGGTTTCATGAAATACGCTTACTTCTAATTTTGAATTTTCCCTTTGAGGTTAATTTCTAATGGAGTATGATAAATACCCACACAACTAATAGTAACCTTTTATTAGGGAAAGCTAATCATTGGCGTTTTAATGACCTGTATCCTGTTTACAAATGTGTGGGGCATAGGAGGCTGGTTTCTCTGGGCAGATACCCTGATGCTGTACTTTATTCTCTCTTTTTAAAAACATTGTGCTTTAATTTTACTCTCTCTCTACTGAGCAAGGCTGAGGAAGGAATTTCAGCTTCACAGGCTAAACATGGCTTTTCTCCCCCCAAATGTTTATGTACGGAGAAGGCTTAGTCATAAAGCAATCGACTCCAACCCACAGGCTGTAAAAATTCCAGGTTTGTAAATCCACTCTGATTCAGTCCTGTGAGGACGCTTAAATTCATTTTCAGTTTTATTCCTAAAAGATATCGTCTGTAGAAAAGATGCGGGCACTTCCCCCATCTGTAGCAGGTTAGGGCCACCCACCGTCGAATAACAGCCTCAGAGACCACTGACATGGGCTTCTGTCTTCTAATTTAGACTGTTAGTACTTCTTATCAGAAGATTATGCTAATTGGACGATAATACCTTAGAAATAAGGCCACGTGGCTTACGTTGGCAGTAGAGTGTAAATGGGTCATGCCGCGGGGCCTTCAGGCTTCTCTGAACTTAGGGTAAGCTTGGAAGTTGGCCTGAAATGTCTAGATCTTGGCAGGTCTTAAAAACTTGGCTCCTTCTGTGCACATCTGATTTTTATTAAGAATTTCCAAAAAGAATCTGCATTGTGCAAACTCCAGATCTGTTTTATCTTTCAAACCCTATGGCGTTGATAAATGCACTGGGTAAATATTTCCATAAAAGATATTTGCAAAAGGTTTTGTTTGGTTTTGTTTTGTTTTTAATGCCACGGTAGGAAATTTTGATTTGGAAATGAAGGATAGGGAAAATCTACTCATTTTCTAAAAATAACTCAAGCAACTAAACATGTCCATTTACAAATGAATCCTTTGTTTTGTTCGGACCCAGGAAAAGTTGAGGTCTGTGTACCGTTGAAAAGGTTGAGTTGCACACACCTGAGAAAGAAAGTTCTTGCCTTCTTGTCGGGAATTGCTGGTACTGGCAGATACCTTTAGGGGCCCGTGGGAATAATAGCCCAGTAACTGAGACAGGAAGAAGCAGCCCCAAGAAGCAATAGCAGTGAAGGTCAAGCTGGTGATTCAGTCTCTGCCTGACTCTTTCCTTCCTTCTTCCTCTCCCTTCCCCCATGACCAGCCCCCCTCCTGAGCTCTGTTGATCTGGCTCCAAAGCAAAGCTGGAGTCCCAAGGACCGATGCCCAGTGGCCGAGACTTAAAGCGTGCAGAGAAAGGTGTCGGGAGGTGACCTGAAATAACCCTCTTGGAAACACCATGGTCTTTAGTAATCTAAGATGGTGTGATCTCTTCCTTATCACTCCAATGTCTGTCCTTCCATGGTTCCAGGATGCTGTCCTACATTTTCAGAGCTTGTCTTGTTCGGTTACTGGGGGCGGCAAGACCCAACTGGAAAGGGCGCGGGCTCTGGAGTAAAAGAAAGGTCTGGGTTTGTAAACCAGGAAGTTCTCCGAGCCTCAGCTTTTGCCTCGGTGCACGAGGGGTGGCATACCCAATCGCCTTGAATCTTATCATCGAACTGACTGGGAGGAGAACCCCCAGCCCAAGGCTTGGCACCTGGTCCTGGGCATCACGGTGGTGGCAGGTGTGAGAGAACGAGACCTGAGCAGAGCACAGGACGATAAGTGATGAGGCTTTCCCAAACCGGTTGCTTTCTTTCCCTCACTTGTAAGATAAGGGAGTTCCATGGTGGCAGAAGTGATTAGTCTTGTTTCTGGTCTGACACACATTCACTGATGTTCATGTGCGTGACACAGTCCCAGGAGTGCAACCTGAGTTCTGGCAAGATCTAGAAGTGCTTGGGGCCGGGGCGGGGGGAAGGAAGGGTGACACGTCTGCACGGTTGTCCGCATCACACCAGAGTGAGCGGGGCTGCAGGCGAGCTGGCCAGAATGCAAGGGAGGGCGAGAGCACAGGGGTGACTCTGGATGGGTCCCGCTTTGTGCAGGAGGTACATGGTGCACCCACCCCGGGACTGTAACTTGGGAGAAGCAGACCCTTGGCTCCGGAGCTCGTGTTACCACACACCATATGCAGAGCTGTCTTCAGTGCATGTGGAACTCTTACGAAAATTGGAAAAAGCCTCCTCTCGCTCCAGAAAAACAATCCCACGTCAGCATATATAGTTCTTAATAATAATTACAGCAAATATAAATGGCTCCATATACATTGTCTAAATCTTCATGTCGAACATAAAATAATAGTGTTTTTGAGGTCCTCAACATTCACATTTTCTGAGATAGACTAATTTACTTAGAAATAATGGTATGTTTTGCTTTCATAGAAACCATATTCTTTTATGAGTCTCAATGTTCCTGCACCTACATCTCATTTTCTCTGGAAATGGCCACTGGATTTGATGGTTGTTCTTGTGACATTGTAGATTTTTGTCTTAGAGTGCTTAACACCTTAAAATACTCTGCTTATAACAACAGCACTTAATCTTTGCACTGACAAAACTTCTATAAAAACAAAAACAATATATGGCAATGTAATATTTACTCTATGTATTATAGATGATAAATATTAAGTTATATAGTGATTTGTGTCTTAATGAAGTACTTATTAAATTTAGGAAATCAACAGTAACATTCTGATGAATGACCTGTGTTATCTAATGTAGCCACTGTACTAACCCAATAGGGATTTTTTTTTAATTAAAAAAAAAAGTGTTCTGTATCAGACAGAAAAACAGCTACTACTTAGAATGCAGTTTAATGTTAGATGTTGCTAGAATGATTAAGTGTTTCAATTAGAAAACTGGCCCCCTGTTTGTAATTCTGACTGGAGAGACATATATCAGTTTTGTAAGCTAGACACTTTGTTTCCATCAAAAAGTTGTTGTAATGGGCTTATTTTGTTAGAACAAGAAATGTTTCAGCTGGAAACCTTGTAGGAACACTTACTAATAAAAAAAAAAAAACACACATTTAAACTCTCCATCTTCAGAGTCAACAAAAGTGAAAAGACACTTCAAAATAGCAAAGATGTGCAAATGTCCCCTTAGAGACCCTTTTGTGTTGAACCACCTGAATGCCCGTACCAGCCGTTTTATCCAGACCACAGGGTCCCCAGAAGCCTGAGCTGGAGACTCTGAGCTCCATCCTTCCTAAAGCTCTAGTGTTCAATGAAATAGTCTTTTCAGTGACACCTCGAGGTCCTCAGGGTTCAAATTTGTTCTTTTACTTCAGCATCACTGAGAGTGTAATCTGAATCTTAATCCTCAGCCTGGGTGCAAGGCCCCTCACCTGCTGGCTCTCCATCCTCTCTCGGGCCCTGGTATCCATGCCTCTCTAACACCAGCTCTTACTTGTCCCCAGCAAGAATTTTTTCTTTGAGATAATTGATTTATTACACAAGTAACATGTGTGCCCCAATGATCAAACCCAGTCTTAAATGTGAATCTAAGTAAGAACATAGTATATTTAGAAAAACCTTTATTGTATAGGGGCGCCTGGATGGCTCAGCCGGTTAAGCATCTGACTCTTGATTTCGGCTCAGGTCATGATCTCATGGGTCGAGAGATCAAGCCCTGTGTCGGGCTCCACACTGAGTGCCGAGTCTGCTTGTCCCTGTCCCTCGCCCTCTGGACCTCCCCCCACTCTCTCTCTCTCTCAAATAAATAAATAAATAAAATCTTCAAAAAAAAAGAAAAATCTTTATTGTATTATAAAACACAGATGGAAAAAAACCCCACACAAACAAATATATAGCTTAATGAATTACACCTTCTAGCACTTAGCAAGTGGAGGGTTTTCACCTTCTAACCTGAGTGACGTGTCTATGTCTGGAGATTTGGCGGGGGTCAATGGTTGGGTACATTTGGAGGCACTCCAGCGGATCCTTCAGGACCCAGCTCAGGATGCCCCCTTCTCTGGGAAGCCTGCCCTGGCTCTTTGGTCTGAGTCAGTTGCCTTTCTGATTGCTCTGTACCTGCTCATTCGCTTGATCTGGAACTCCCTCCCCATGCCCACGCACGCCCCTTGCCCTCCCTGTAGCTTTGGGAAGGCAGAAGCTGTCCCTTATTATTCTTTGTATCACTAGCACCTCACACAGGGCCTGCCACATAGTAACTGCTCAATAAGTATTTGTGGCATGAAAGAAAGAATATATATTTAATTTAAAAAACAAAAACCAAAACCATAGTCATTTAAGAACTGTGTCAACAGCACCACCTATTGGTAGATAGGTTTGACACTGCACTTCAGATTCTGAAACCTTTTGCACTGGAAATGAGGTGGCTTAAGTTAAGCATCTTCCCTTTACAGAAAGGGTGGTTCACTCTCCAAGCCATGGAGTCATTTATCTTTTAATAAGTGTTAAAGTAATAAGTGCTAATA